TTACGCCTTTTTCCCGTGTATCGATTTGCGGCATCGGCACGTTGCGTAGCTGCTTGAGCTTACTCTTTCATGTTTGCGCACAGGTCGACATTACCTACACTGTAAATGGCGAAAAGATCATCTCTTGCCAGATCATTGGCAAGACCAAGTGAGGGTCTGGTATGGCGGAATGGGGATCAGGCACAGGCTCAGTGATGAGCACATCGTCACCATCATTGAGCTCTCCTAGCATCTCTCCTTCGATCAGAAGAGCAGAGTTGCGAGCAGACGATTTGATGGAGAAAGAGCGACAAATCAAGAAAGCGAGGTTGGACTGAATGACAAGGCAAAAGGGAGAAAAATGCACACTAGAGTCCATCACTCTGATCTGGTGTGCTTCTTGCCCCCACCTCTCGCTCTTGTGCATCCCACCCCGCCTCCTTTTGATTGTTGCCGTGAAAGAGCTTCTTCTCTTTTCCCCCATCCAGCCCTAACCAACGCAAACGACAAGACGCCTGAATGCAACCCCCCTAGAATACACTTTTCTCTTCCAACCTTGTCCGCCCAGTGTCTGCGTGTTATGAACGAGTTGGCGAGTCGTGTGCTTCAAGGAGCGAGCGAGACGTGCTCTTGCACGCATCACATCACATCACATCACATCATGACGCAGTCAAGTGGGATGCCAGATGTAGCTTTGATTTACATAGCAGACATAAGATTGTCCAACGAGTAAGAGCACAGCAGAGCAGAGCAGAGCACAGCACAGCACAGCACAGCATACAGATGCGTTCCCTAGCGACCCATTTCCAAAAGGGGTCGGAGAAGGAAAAGAAATCGGGGAAAACGAAGCAAAAGGGCGCACAGGCGCACAGGCGCACAAGGGCACAAGCGGTCCCAACGCACCCCCACCCCCACCCCCACCTCCTTCGATGCTTTTGTTTCCCCCACCGCCAGCCCCACCGGCACTCTCGAAGGCAAAGGCCATTCATTCCACGTCCCATTTGCTTCCCTCCAACTTTCCTTTGCCCAGACCAGAACAACTCACGCAACTCCCCAAGAACTGGCATCTGCATGGGCTACGTACGACAAACGCAGCAGATGGGCGAATGAGGCGTGTACGGGGGGTGGGTGACAAAAGGAATGGCAGGGGGGCAAAAAGTCTTTTGCCAACAAGGTTGTAGGTATGTACAAGATGAAACGGGTGATGGGGTGAAGAAAGAGAGGGGAGGGGGGGGGGCGGGGGAATGCGCGAAGCAAGAGATGCGTA